TTTGTTTATTTTCTTGTGTTGTGGTAGCAGTAAACAACCACAAATAATACAATTTAAGGAGGTCATGAGGGAGAAGGCAACCTAAAAACCCCTCCACGTCTATGTAAATAAGGCATTATTCGTCTGCATCTTCGATACAAAATACAATTATATCAAGCTCCCCACGTGAGGGAATTACTGCGTTGTGACGTCATCAATTTCCATTCCTTTGTATTATAACAAACACGGCTTTCAACTGCATATAACTTGTAGAGTTATACACTTAAAATAAGCTCGTGAGCATAATTAGCTTAAGAAAATCTTTAGATTTTCATCATTTTAAGTGAGAAAATCGCATGTTGAATTTCTTTAAACGTTTCTGAACACAAAAATCCTGAAAAATTATCCTTAATAACTGATAAATCTTCAAATTTATTGTCGTTATCTTAATTAAATTTTGTGTAGTTTCGAGCATACTACTTCAAAGAAACTAATTACATCCTTTAGAAAATTATGATAATTAAAGTAAATTCGGTGATTAAATTTTATATTTTAACACAGAACTGTGTTAATTCTGTCTGTAAAAGTTCTAGACTTGATCCATAGTTTCATTACTCCAGATTATCTTGTAAGTCACTGAGTTGCCATTATCATTATCATTATCACCGATAAGTTTTACACTTTCTTCCCTTTTTTGTATTCTCAGCTAGCTCTAGAAACTAACAGCATCGTATTTTAAGGGTCTACTTTTATCGTTTTCACTAAATCTTCCTGTTTTATCCCTAGAGAAATACTAGAATTTTAATTTTTCTAAAATGTTTCTTCATAATCTATCCGTTCTATCTCTATGTATAGTTTCAATTCTCTCAAATTTATTGAAATATTCTTTCAGTGATCTTTCAAGATAAATCAGAGATAAATCGAAGATAATTCTAAAGCTGTAGAGCATCTTCTCAGAATCATTCTCCTCATCTGCTTCGAGAAGATCTATAGAGCATCATCTTCACTAAATCATTCTACTCATCTGCTTCGAGAAGATCTATAGAGAATTATCTTCACTAAATCATCCTCCTCATCTCCTTCGAGAGGATCTATAGAGCATCATATTCTCCGAATCATTCTCCTCATCTGCTTCGAGAGGATCTATAGAGCATCATCTTCTCCGAATCATTCTACTCATCCTCCTTGAAAAAAAATCTTTAGATGATCCTCATCTTCTCCGAATTATTCTCCTTGTCTGAGTTACATGAAACCGGAAGAATAAATTTAAAAAGTAATTTTCAGATTTCTTGGAAAATATATTAAAGATATCGAATTTTTGGTGTTAGAAAATATCTCGGTTCTAATTTCCAGAAGGCCGTTTAAATCGCATTATAAAGGAAAAAGAGGAGAGGGAGGAGGAACAGATGTTTGGAAACAATCTCGGATCCGCTGGAGATTTTTATCTGGTAATCGCATTTCGACTCGATCGACTGGAGATGCGCTTCACCAAATAAGAAAACCCCCAGAAAAAAAAATCGAATATAAGAAAGGCTTATGTCTAAACTACAATGCCTTTGTCATATTCAATTTTCCAACATCCTCGAAAGATCGAAGGTGAAGATTTCGAACAAACTGAAAAGATATGTCTCTATGAGATCTTACAAATATACTAAAGATGCTAATGGATACATAGAAGATAAGAAGGATGAAGGAGTTATAAACGTTAATACTTTATTAAATTGTTATATTTTTATCGATTTTTACATTTTTAAATGTTTAAAATTAACTCTTTATGCCACTTAAATAGTAAAGTAAACATAATTAAGTCAAGTAAACTCGATAATCATCCATCTTATCCTTTTTATCTTCTATATATTCAGCATCTTGAATAAGATCTCATAGAGACAAATGAATGACTTTCATCTTTGTAGTTTGTTCGGGATCTTTACCTTTGAACTTTCGAGGATTTTTGGAAGATTTTCCTTTTATAATTTCTAAAATTATGTATGGAACTTTAAAAGTAAAGAGACAAATGATAGCTGAATTACCCTGTAAGTGTGGCTTCTCTACACGTCATAGATACTAGTAAAAACGATTTGGAATTAAAATATAATTCTTCAGTTTATATATACTTATATATAACACTTCTTATAGATTTTTCTATATTTTAAGTTTATTTTTTTAAATAAAAATTAGCGTTATAAGCNATCCTGCCATGCAGTGAAAGCAACATTCGCCTTTAACCTTTAATTTTCTTTAATAATTTCTCTAAAATACACGAATATACATAAAAATGTGTCCTAGATACTAGGATAAGTAGAGTTATACTTCTTTTATAAGTAAAATTTTAGAATATTCAAGCATAAAAGTGAAGAGACTCTTCACAATGGTGTAATATTCAGTTAATTAAGCTGTAATTTTTAAATTAAATGACCTATAACCTATATATATTTCCACCGTCGTCTGTCTGTCTGTCCTTTCTTAATCTCGGGACGGTGTTAGATAGATAGATAAAAAATCCAGACCGGATATGTAAAGATTCGAGGCTGGAGACTACGATTAACTGTATAAAAACTTCTGTTTTGGACCGGAAATTACGTGTTTTTTTAACTTAAATGGATGATTAAAAATTGCAGTCCAGAATTACTACGATGTCACACAATAAATAATTGCTAGTTATTGATAAATATTGCTTTAAATAATTGGAATCATTATCAAGGATTATCAATACTTCAATGGAGTAGAAATATATTTGGTCAAGTTTTAGGTGACATTTTGTCTATTTAATTATATTTTTGATGTGTCTTATCCTTGTAAACACTTAGAAAAGAGCTTATTTGGTTTTACTTTATCCCCATAGGCACGTACAGTTGTACACACACTCTCGAGTTGTTAGCGTGTTTTAACCTTAAACTACTTGTGTGATACGTCAAGAATACATTTTTTGTACAAAAAAGAATTTAATATTTCATATTTTTAACGATTTCTTAAGTGAATTGAATATCGAAATTAACTTGAAACAAAAGATTATATGAATAGTTTAAAAATTTTCACATGATTTCATCTCTTGGGGACTAATTTAAATGTAATCTGTTAAGGATAATGGGCAAGAAACAATTTTTCTTTTGTATGATTTCGATTTAAATTATACGAAAAATTTTTATAATAATTTGTTGTTTTATTTACTTTCTCTGTATGGTTTCAAGCTAAAATAAATACCGATAAATTTGCATAATACGGAATTACGTATTCTAATTTTTAAATAACTACAATTAAATGATTAAATTTAATATTTTAAACTGTTTTTAAATGTAATTTTTATTAATTTTTATAAACAAAACTTAATAATTAATGCATAAAAACTATAAATCTGCGAAATAACTTAAAGTTTCTCTTACTTGTAAGATGCTAAAGATAACGAAAAGATAAGGAAGATGAGGAGGACGATTATGAAATTATAATCATCATAAAGATAAATAAAACTTTATTTATTTATTAACGTTCTTCTTATACGTTTGTTTATTAATTTCCTTCTATATTGGTAAGTGTTTTACAGGAGAATTTATACTGTGAATTCTTCAACAGTTATCTTCGAATGTGACACTCAAGAAGATTCAGCTATCAATTCTCCTCCCCATAAAGCACTGATATGGATATTTATCAACTCGTTCACTGTTTATCCTTGCTGTTAAAGACGTGGAGACGGCGAAAGAATTATTTATTTCTCTCGAATTCTTCCATGTTCACTGGAGAGAAAGAGAAAAAAAATTCATCACACGTTTTTTAATCGCTTTTATACGAATTTTCTCCATTAATTTTCATTTTTTTTCACTCGAATTCTACTCCATATTTGCCCTGGAGTTAGCGTACGGAAGACGTATTCACTTCTTGATATATATTTTTTTTCTTTCTTACGATTTTATTTCTGGTATTCACCAATGGGTGTATAGAAAGTTTCATCTTCACCCTTATCGTAAATCGCCCCTTGGCACTTCAGGAAAAGGAAAAGACATATTTTTGGTGAATTGAACTTACCTTATGGACGACGGCAATTTATGCAATAAAAATTCTTGCTAAGAGATCTCTGCAAATCGAAGCTACTCTATCTGCTGCATACCTTTTTCGCTTGGATAAATATAATTAAACTTGAAAAATTTTTTTTCTCCTGTAAATATTTAAATAAATTCTATATTTATGATATTTTTTCTTCCTAGATAAACTAATTTTAGTTTTATAAAATGCAAATTTTTAAAAAAATATTTTAAGAATAAGTACAGGAAAATCTAGCATCTCTTCGTTCATCCCCTTCATCCCTATTCAATTCTGTAACGAAGTGAGAATTATATGCAATAATTTATACATTTTTATGCAATATTTATGCAATAATTTTAACATATTAAATCTAATTTACGCTTATATAACTAGGAAACTGTACTTTAATTCCGCATCTTTTCCAGATAACTTTCTATGCTTAAATTTAGAATTTCTCCTAAATAAATCATTAAATTGAGAATAAATCAAGGAAAATTAATGTAGAAAGCCTTATAATTTAATAATAGATTTTATAAATATTATTTTTCGCCATTTTGAAAGCTGTAAAGCGTGACAGTCAGACAGGAATCGCTTCAGGGATGATTAATTTCAAGCATTTCGGGGGGAATTTCCGGATCGTTTTCAACGAAATTTTTCTTAACGAATGTAACACTCGCTGGTACAAAAATAATATCGATTATTATTATTTTTTTTTCGACTTCATCCCGCAATGCGCAGCAATTTCCAAAAGTTTAAATCGTAAATATACAGTATACTTTTAATATAAATTACCTTATAAAGCAGACGTCGATCGATAAGCCATTTCTCTCTTCGTATATTAATACGTGGTTCTGTTTTTGGCTTTTGCCGAACCCGGTTGCCAGGCAGCCCCGAATCTGTATAATGTAAACACTGCAAAATTCTCGAAGGACACCAAATATCCGACTGCTAAGTAATAAATATCAGAATACTGACGCTTCACTGACTTATAGTGGATTGTTTTAATTTTCCTTTCTACGTAACACCTGTGATGTTACACAAATAGTAAACGTACACTCCCATTTTTAACCCTCTTTCGAAGTATCTTAAACCAGTAAACTTCCTTCTCGCATCCTCATTTCGTTACAGTTAATCCAAATATTTCTTTATCCATCTCTTCTCTTTCGCATCCTCCAAGTTTATCTTTCGTTCCAGAATAAAAAACAGTAAATTCGTATAGAAATTTATTAACTTTTAACAGTAATTTCTTAAAATTACACACTAAAATAAGTCATTTTTCCTCTTAAAATCTCTCATCCGAGGATAAGTCGAGAGAGAGAAGACGAGGAGAATAAGTTATAAAGAGTACAAGGATCAAGTCAGAAAGGGAAGATACATTGAAGAGGAATGAAGATTAGGATAAGAGGGAGAGGTATAATTAGTAAAACTGAAGACAATTTACGAGTAAATTATGTTTAAAATCTTCATTAACCTTTCATTTAAATTCGACTATCGATTTTGTACTTATCGTTAAGTTAATGCGATTTTCTCATCGAACATGTTTGATGTTCTTATAATTTTTAAATTGATGATAGAGCAATATTAATAAATATTTAAAATAGCGTTAAAGTCAATACAAATTTTCCAATTTTTTTTTTTTTTTTATTTTTTTTTCTCCGTTGAATAATAGCAAATTTCATAGTCTAGTAACTCTAGAGCCCCTGTAAAAGTGGCTCGACCTGCATACATCTATAGTGATGTTTATGTTTTTCTCTATTCATTTCTTATTTAATAATTTATTTTTGATAAAAAAATAAAAATAAATAAGAACTTTGAATGGCAAACAACGCAGTTGGATATATTATTTACTCAATAATCTGAATAAATGACTTAGTAATCTACTTTGATATTAAAATATACAACATGATAAAATATGATGGAGTAAAGGAGTAGAATGCCTCTAGTTTCTCTTCATATAAATGTAATTCAGTATATTAAGGACTGCCAAACTTTGTTCTTATTCTAGTAAAAAAAGAAAACTTTATAGACTCCATTTTATAATTTTTTGATATTTTAAATAAAATATTACAACCGAGCCGAGTAAAGAATTGCCATGCAAATGCAATAAGCTCTCGTGTTCTATTTGTTTTTTCCTCCTTATAAATTTCCTTAATTCTATGCAAATTATTTCCATATTATTTAATTATAATTAAAATTTACAATATTTTCTTAAAGAATTTCCTGTAAAAATGATTGTTTTTTGCGGCATAACTGTAATGAATTTTACATAGAACGAGTAATTGTTATGATATCAATCAGAATACAAGGCTTTAATTTTTAATCATCTCTTAATTTTAAAAAAATCACATGACTTCCGGTTTGGACCGGAAGTCGTGTGATATTTAACCGTATTTCCGGTTTGAACGGAAGTACTTATATAATTAATCGGAGACGTTCTCTGTGGTCCGAATTTTCGTGGTTTCTTGCCCCCGTATATCATACTTCTCCGGATGACAATTAAGTAGTGCCGGTCATCTATTTAACTTCATACTAGATAAAATTTTGAATTGAATTTATGTGATTTCTGATCATTAGTTTGTATGCAGTTATTCGTGGTCTTCACCCCTTAATATTTTCGTATCTAGTCTCTATTTTCTGCTATCTAACTCCATTTTCGAGATTAACGAAGGACGGATAGCTAGACGGTAAGAATTAGGTCTTAAATTTGAAAAATTTCAGCCAAATTAGGATCTGAATTTTGTCTCTCATTACAATATTAAGAAATTAATGTATAATTTATAAACTGTTCATGATTTTTACACTTAAATCAAGCTAAAATGGACTCGAAACAGAATAATTTATTTTCTATATTTATCTATAACGACTTTGTACTCGAGAGAAATTCTGATTACTTTAATAAATTGAGTTAAAATTCGTACAGACACGCGGACAGTCATCAATACAGATTAATTTACATGTAGCTCTTCTCTTCCTCGTCTTCCAAACAGGCTTCAATGCATGTCAGAGATGTAATTCTATCATCCGTAGGAAGATAATTTGAACTCCAAATTTCTAAGTGATCTTAATAAACATAAGGTCAATTATTTATATAATTGTTCGTGTTTTCTTTGTTCTCTTTCTTCTGTTCTTTTTGTTCTTTATTGGGCTTCAATTTAAAAAAAATGTAGACCTATAAATTTTCACTGTCATTCATCTGTCTGTCTGTCCCTCCTTAATCTCGAGAACGGTGTTAGATAGATAAAAATCGATATTATATTTAGAAAGTATAGTGGCAGATGGACCCGATTTGCTATATTTAATATTTTAATTCAAAATTTTTACATATAAAGAAGCTAGATAGATGACCAGCACGAGTCTATTGCTAACAGGGAAAGTATGATGTACAGGAACACGACACTACTAATTTGAGTAGAGAGCATATATTNAGAAGCTAGATAGATGACCAGCACGAGTCTATTGCTAACAGGGAAAGTATGATGTACAGGAACACGACACGACACTACTAATTTGAGTAGAGAGCATATATTTTAAATTAAATAATTTATTGTTTATCATATTTTCGTTATATATCAAATAAATAAAACTATATTCTCTTTTTTTCTTTAATAAGATCAATTTTCATGGTAATAAAAATTATCTTTGCTGCATCCTTCAGAAAATCGAGCCTTCTGGCGAAAAATGTTGATAAAATAATAAAATAGTTAAAGGAGATTAATTTAAAATATAATGTTTATAAAATAGAAGGATGTTTGTTTGATTATTAAATCAAATTTCTACATTCTATACGAACTTCTCCAACATCTTTATAAAGATTATCGTTCTTATTAATTCATCCTTCAGCATCACCGAGTATCGAATTGGAAACTAAGAGAACAACACTTCAATACTCATTTCTGCTCTAGTAATTAGAATTTTTAAAGTCTATCTTATGGCATTTAAAGTCATACAAGTGTAGAATCTTGTTACTAACATTTGCTGGTTTGGCATTGAAGTGCATTATCAAAAGGATGATTGCATCCCATTATGATGCCATCAACGGATGCAAGTTATGAGTCGTGACTTCAATCATCCCAATGTAACTAATACATGTTTTCAACGTGTGCTTCTGTCGAAAAATAGCTTACACGTGACCAAAGTTAACTAATTTTGTATACTAAATCGCTGTAGATGAAGATGGAGCTATGCATAAAGATTATCGTGTTGCTCTTCAATTGTAATCAAACTACAAATCAAATTCGAATTTATAGTTATAGAAAACAAAATATAAAACCATATCCTTCAAGTAGAATCATCAATAAACCTATATTTTTAATTTATATTAGCACTTAAATTCATGCAAATTTTACTAACATTTGATGGTTCTACTCTAACTATTATTTTCTTACACATTGTTTACTCTAATAAGACAATTTGCTTGAATAAAAGACACAGAATTAATGAAAAAATACTTCTTCTATCCTTTTCACGCAACCTTTAATAACCACTTTTCAAGCTCATTGTTTGTTCTTGGACTAATTGGGAAAAGAACAATTGTTTTATTGCTCTATCTGGAAAAATAGATAACAAGGCGTCATAGCTTCTTGATGAGTTATTTTCTCAGAAAAGATAATATTAAGTCATCAAGAAACTGTTTTCCTGTTGTTTCCTCAGAAGAGAATCTTTCTAAAGAGGTATTTAGATCAAAATCGTTTCGTTGGGAACAAGAAGATGAGGATAAAAAATTCGTGAATTTCATAAATAAATAATGCTTAGAAATGAAAGGATTTAAAGTAAAATGATTTACGAAGTGTGCAAGATGTAAATTATATTGTTTTTATTTCCAAGGCGTACGTCACAAGGAAGAAATATTGAAATCCCCCAGCAACTAACGTTGTACTCCAAGATACGCTAGTTGCTGGATGGATGATGATGGATGATATTTAAATTACAGTTTTCTGATAGAATGTCGAGTTGGATTATTATACTTTACAAAAGCAATAAGAGATTTTGACACCAAATATTTTTCCACCAAGCCTTTAGAAAATTGAGTGTTTGTCTTCAATTTCTCGGTTCTATCCAAATATGGTTTGTACTGGAGTTCCCTGACGTAAAAATTGATAAAAATATAGATTTATTGAAGATTCTACTTGAAGGATTTGGTTTTATATTTCGTTTTATGTAACTTTTAATTTGAATTTGATTTGTAGTTTGATTACAATTGAAGAGCAATACAATAATCTTCGTGCTTAGCTCCAGTTGTCCATCATCATCTACAAACGTTTAGTGCATAAAATTAATTAATTTATGACAACATTTGGTCATGTGTAAGCTATTCTTGACAGATAAACACATTGAAACATCTTTAAGTTACATTGTAATAATTTAAGTCACGACTCATCGCGATGATGCCATCACTGAAGCATATCGTTAAAGGACGATACCCTTCAATGTCTGTTGATGAATCATTAAATTAGTGTAAAATTCATTAAAAAATGGCCGAAATATAGAAAGAAATCAGATATTTACTCGCTACAACACCAATAAACTTCTCATCCACGATCAAACAATTGATTTGTAGCAAGAAATCTGTAAGTTGGACTACTGTAAATCAAATTACAAATTGTTTAACAATATTATTTCTATAGATACAATTCATAAAGATAAATTAAGTAAGACAAGATTACATTCGTCTACAGTAACATGTCAGGGACAATTCAGAAATCCATTTGTTTTCTTAATAAAATTTCTCTTATCCTTGTATTGCCATCACTGCTGAAGATTAAGTTGGTGTAGGCCTATATGTTGTCCCAACGTTCTTAAATTATTTTCTTAGCTTAATTCTAAGAAATTTGTTGTTAAATTTTAATTCTAGATTAATTTCGTTGCAGGAGGAGATGCTGGACTTTTAGAAAATCCAGAGAAAGTCCAGTAGTAATTATCGACTCGTTACAAATTCCTACCTGTGCCACGGATTAGTTTATAGTTAAACAATGGAGATTCTTCACCAAAATATCGATCCATATTCGATTTAAAGTGGCATTAAAATAGGATTTGAAAGCAATTATCTTTAGGGTTTTCCATTATTACAATTAATTATTTTCTCTTAATGTGGTTAACACAATTCGTTAATGGATGGAACTCCCCAGATGCTAGATTTACTCTAATTTTATTGATGGTTACTTCGTGATTACTGATAAAACCGCTAATTATACTGTTTCAATACAAAATGTGTGAAGTTATTATTACTTCATAAAGTTCTGGTGATAAGTAATACACAGATAAATGACCCAAATTAAAATTTATTTGGTGAAAAGTTACCTCTCTTCGGATCTGGATGTTGGATGCTCTACGTGATCCTTCACGCTCTACGTGATGCTCGTTCGACGTTACGCTTTAGTAAAGATTCGACTACATAAAAGTAATGAAAGTTACGTAAATATGAGATTTAGGTGTGTGATTATATTATATAAATTCATCATAAGTATCAATTGAAATTTCTAGATAGCAATTTTTAAAAGAATGGAAAGATATTTTTTTTCTCTTATCTTAATTCTTATTTTACGCCCTTCAACTAGTAAATAAATTTGGAAAACTTTAAGTAAATTTTCGTATCAAACTCCCTTCAACTATTTGCAAGTTGTTTATTTGACAGATTAGCAATTAAGCGAGTACAAATGATGCTTTCAAGAAGATGCGGAGGACGTAACCATAAAGTTGCAGTCGGAGACTCTCCAAAGAACCTTTAAATAAATTTTCTCACCTCTTCTTCCCGGTCTTCTTCATTATGTGTAATCTTTTCTCTTTAATTTACAATAATTTAGTGGTTTAAGTAGTGAATTTGCATGGTTTTGCCTTCCTTATCGACGTCCTTCGGTTGATTTAAGCATTTCTTTTATGATCTTTTCAATTTAGAAGTGGGAGGGATTTAGTTATGGACACGTAAATAATTACACGATAACATAAAGTTAGTTATTTATGAGGTGTATAACCGGTTGAATGGAAATGATCATCAAGAGGAGGCTCGAGAGCAAGCGATAACCGAGTTACAACAACGTAACAATACTAATCTTATCAAAGTGTTTTATCTATCGTGTTTATTGCTCTCTCATCTTCTGCTTGTAGATCGAACAGGAAAAGCACAAGCCGATTAAATATCTTAAACGAATACCTAAATCCTTTATCTTCTAGAATCATTTCTATTAAAGACGAAAAGTTTTATCTGTCAGGTGATAAAACCAAATCCCTACTATTACGTAATTAGAAGAAACTGTTACTTTTAATAATACTTACTGTAGAAAGCCGGGATAATTAAATCTGATGGATGATAAGGATGAGGAAACATAACGACATCCTGCATCTTCCGTCTTTCATCTCGTTTCTGAGCTAGGAAATTAGAAAAAGTTACATGCTGGATCCATCATCTAAGATACAGATTCCGATTGCTCTTCAGCTTCCGAGAAATGTAATTGATGGGATGCTGAATTCTCGTTTTTTTTATTAAATATTTTTACTTGAAAACATTAAAAATATTTAAAATGTAAAGTCTCATATTGTTTTTATACTGTTTTAATATATATTTGTGTATTTTTTTGTGTGTGTTATATGCTCTTTCGTGGATCCAATAGATTACAATAAAATGAATCGCAACCGATTGTTACAGAATTATTATTTCTTATGTATTATGGAACAAGTAAATACGACGTTTCAGCATCAGTATATCGTTGACAACATCAGGATATAATGTTGCAGCATCAGTTTCATCAGCAATGTAACGTTGACAGCATCAAGATATGCTGTCTCTGCATCAGTTTCAGCATCAGTGTAAGAGTGAGGGGTTAGTTTCTAATATTAAAAGTTGTTAGAAAAGTCTGTAAACAAATCTATATTTCTAGAATTCTATAAGAAGAACACAATACATTGCGAGTGAATTAATTAAAATTAGAGAATATCAATTTCACACGCATCCTACGTGTTTAATAAGCCAAACTTTTGAAAAACCCACAATTTTAACATCAAAAACGTGAGAAAAACTTTAAAGATTCTCATGAAATCTTTTCGAATTCATGAAATTTTAATATGGCTTATAAGATTCATTTTATAATTATTCGATTCTCGCTTTGTTAAACTGAGTTACACACAAATTAACCCCCGTTTCTCTGTCAACCTGTGCGAGTCGCAAATAAATAAATAAACAGTAATTTTACTGCTGTCAGAATTGTAATAATTGTAATTAGTATTATAATTACAGCTTATATTTAAATTATAATTTTCGTAACGTTTTATCTCATTAATGCTATTCGTTTCACAACAAATTATTGCATTTTCATTTCATTTTCTTCTAAGATACGAAGATTTTCTATTGAAAATCTTAAAGTTTTAATATCATTTTTGAATTCTAAAGATAATTTTTTATTAATTTTTCAGAAGAAATTCCAGAAAATTTGGCTTTTCAAGGATATTGCAGCTGCATCCATCAACAGAGTGGAACATGGAATAGGATTGATTCCTCATTCGATCAGTTTGAAGAGGAGGAAATATTTAAATCCTTCTACAATCTTTTGGGAAGAAAATCTTTCGAAAAGACAGAACTTTTATGGAATTGCAACCAAAGATTTGGTTGCAATTCGTGAAGGAAACGTCATATTGTAGTTCTAAGAACAGCAATCTGATGATTCTTCCACGAACTGCAACCAAAAAAATCCTCATAAACGAAGATGATTGCCATCCCGTGAGGTTAGAGGAATACGAAAAGATAATATATCTTCGAATCTTTCAATGGAGCAATACATTTAATAAAATTCCGGATCGCATTTACTTGATGGAAAAGAATCGTTGACAATCACCAAATTCAACCAAATCCATCATCTCATTCCATTAATGTTTTGTTACACTTTCCATTACCTTATGAAATATTCTTAAACATTTAAAAAATAATAATAATAATAATAAACATTTCCATCTGCCATTTTTGTAATTCTGTATAAAAATTGTGATAAATCGAACACAATTCAAACAGATAAATGTTAAGTGGGATGATATTTGTACGAAGTTCTGGTATAAAATGCATTACAGTAAGAGGAGAAATTGATAAGCAGGGTGGTTCAAAAGTCCGTTAACATTATAAAATGCTTTGTTACTTAAATACTACACAAAAATTGTTCTAAACTCAGCTCATAATTGACCAGATAAAAATCAGTTGACCACGTGTTCCAGATTCTTAATTGAATCTGGAACACGTGGTCAATCGATTTATTGGACAATTTGTAAATTTCTCCTCTTTAAACCTGTTCGAGTAAATAAATATTACATTTTCTTTTAGATTAAATAGAAATTCGTAGTGTAAATCCGAAAGTTCAGCATCAATTCCTTCTCCTCCTCATCATCTCTTCGTACTCAAATCTTTCAGATAAATGGCTCATTTCGTTTATTTTTCTCTTCGTTTAAATTATAATTTTTAATAATTATAATTAGAGAAAAAGAAATATTCAATTACGAAGATGTTAATTCAGATTAAAACGAGTGTTAAACGTTGGATTCGTTACAATTCATTTGCCAAATTGAATCAATAGCAATAAATGAATAACTCTACTTGGTTCCTCTGTGGACTGTAAATCCCAGAAAGTATGGCTTACATTTGTCATGAAGAAGAAATTATAGTTAATGGCATTTCCTGTTTTATCCTGTATCTCTATTATGTCCTCGACAGCTGGATATCTCGTAGGGAGCAGAACAATCTCTGTTCGAAGAGAGATAGTAATGTTATTGTTTTTATCAAATCGGATCTCTAGTCTTTTGTCAAGGATAGATTTTTCCATAATCCTTCGAAGAGGCAATTGAAACCGATCATACTTACTCTCTTACGTCTTATATTCCCCTGTGTAAATATAAATTTAAACACCAGAATTTTTAACACTTTTCCTGTGTAAGAAAAGGGTCAAATTCTCTAAATATTTTTTGGAGGAGAACTTTACCACTCCTTTAATGATATACAATTACATTTCCTGCATAGGAGAAGAGAAGAAGGATCAAAGAGTCGAACCGTTTACCAATTTTTTAAGGGAGAACTTCGCTTACTCCTGAATATTCTACAATCAGAAGATACGCATCAGCATCATGCAAGAACCTTCCAGTTTAAAAAAAACACCTCTTGAAACAAGGATAATTGCAAATTAAGTGTTAATAATTAATTAAAGTCATTAGTATATTGGTTAACAAATTTGTTTTGAGTATAAATAAACACTACGACTAAACATTGTTGAATTGTTAAGTTTAATTAAACGCAACACACGTTATCTTAATATTAACACAGGAAATTTAATACAAACCTATTTTTCGGTTGTTCTATGCAACTTTTTTTTAAATTTCTACTTAATTAACAATATCATCCTTTGGGTTTTTGGGATCTTGAAGGATAGTAATTAACGTTAATCCTGGAAGAACTTCGGAGAAATTAAATTTGTTTCCAATTAAGAAGAAAATATTTTTTGTGGATTTTCACGTGCATTATTAAATTTGTAACAATATACAGCATTATTATTAAATAAATAAAACATATTATTATTATTTTGTTTGGATTTTTATGTCTTGATTTAAGCTTATCTCTTAAGAATGTTGCTTTCACTGCATGGCATCCTGCCATGCAGTGAAAGCAACATTCGCCTTTAACCTTTAATTTTCTTTAATAATTTCTCTAAAATACACGAATATACATAAAAATGTGTCCTAGATACTAGGATAAGTAGAGTTATACTTCTTTTATAAGTAAAATTTTAGAATATTCAAGCATAAAAGTGAAGAGACTCTTCACAATGGTGTAATATTCAGTTAATTAAGCTGTAATTTTTAAATTAAATGACCTATAACCTATATATATTTCCACCGTCGTCTGTCTGTCTGTCCTTTCTTAATCTCGGGACGGTGTTAGATAGATAGATAAAAAATCCAGACCGGATATGTAAAGATTCGAGGCTGGAGACTACGATTAACTGTATAAAAACTTCTGTTTTGGACCGGAAATTACGTGTTTTTTTAACTTAAATGGATGATTAAAAATTGCAGTCCAGAATTACTACGATGTCACACAATAAATAATTGCTAGTTATTGATAAATATTGCTTTAAATAATTGGAATCATTATCAAGGATTATCAATACTTCAATGGAGTAGAAATATATTTGGTCAAGTTTTAGGTGACATTTTGTCTATTTAATTATATTTTTGATGTGTCTTATCCTTGTAAACACTTAGAAAAGAGCTTATTTGGTTTTACTTTATCCCCATAGGCACGTACAGTTGTACACACACTCTCGAGTTGTTAGCGTGTTTTAACCTTAAACTACTTGTGTGATACGTCAAGAATACATTTTTTGTACAAAAAAGAATTTAATATTTCATATTTTTAACGATTTCTTAAGTGAATTGAATATCGAAATTAACTTGAAACAAAAGATTATATGAATAGTTTAAAAATTTTCACATGATTTCATCTCTTGGGGACTAATTTAAATGTAATCTGTTAAGGATAATGGGCAAGAAACAATTTTTCTTTTGTATGATTTCGATTTAAATTATACGAAAAATTTTTATAATAATTTGTTGTTTTATTTACTTTCTCTGTATGGTTTCAAGCTAAAATAAATACCGATAAATTTGCATAATACGGAATTACGTATTCTAATTTTTAAATAACTACAATTAAATGATTAAATTTAATATTTTAAACTGTTTTTAAATGTAATTTTTATTAATTTTTATAAATTATATCAATAATAAACTTGCTAAACGAAGATTGGTCGATAACGTGACTATCTTAACAACGATTGGTAGAAAATATGTCTATCTTAACAACGATTGGTTAGAAGAGAAGTAGGCGGTAATTCTCCATTATTTGAATAATTCTACTTTTTGTAATCAATTTGATGGATGTTTTACGTAGTTTCTTCATTAAATTTATTTAAAATTCGTGTATATAATGCTTCGTCTTGAAATAAATGATAATACATCAGATAAGTAACTTTATATCTTCGAGACAGTATTTATTATACATTAAACTGACGAAACAATTCGTAAGATAGAGAATTACGTATCGAAAGACATTTAAAACAGAGTTTATAGTGTCTCTTCTACTGTGTTCTACGTCGTTATCTGTGTTTCGTGTGAAGAAAAACCTCATTTCTCAGGTTTTTTTTCCTATAGATTGCATTCTTATTCGCTCTTTGAGATAAACGTTACGGTAGTTTTTTTCTAGTAATTGGTCTCTCTGCGTCATCGATAATCATTAGATACTGACATTACAACCACACACTCGGTTTCCTTCTTCTATTTTTTACATATGAACTGCAAATTTATCCTTCGAATACGGTTTCCTAGAAGCCAAATTTAATTATAATTTATAGCATTAAAAAAAGGAACATAAATTTATGCAATTGTTACCTTCGTCTCCTGATCATCTTCGACTCGTTCTATTGCTGTGTAGGTTTACTTACAACGTTACGGATGCTAAATAATATCATAAAGAACTACGTAACGTGTCTACCATCTACAAATTCAATCACGTAAGAGCATTATAAAATTGATTTACGGTCTATATTTATGTAAAAATTAACATGAAAAGAATGGGCATAATTTTTATTAGAATTTCCAAAGCCATATCCATAAATTTAAATTGGAGTTAATGTCCTTTAATACTTCGTTATGGTACGTAACGTAATTCGATGCGATAGGCACCATGCCACGCAGTAACTTTAGTGCAATGTTAAATTCATGAAGTCTAATTAAATCGAGGGATAAATAATGATGTTGTTACTAAGCTTCCAGATCAATTACATAAATCCAACATACACTGCATAATGGGTATGGTTCCAATGGGATATTCATCATCACATAACTGAACTTTAAGTAGCCCGTAACTATTATATCTAAATCATGTCGGATTTCATCTATCGAACAATTCGTTTGTCTGTCTGTCAGGCTTGATGTATGGAAACTGTTTTCTAAACTTAGTTTGTTTGTAGAGTTGAATGGGTGATAAGGACACGTTTACACCTGAATACGATAAATTATGGTCACGGATATAAATCGATGTAAGTCGAGACTTTATTTTTCCAGATAGTAGAAGGTATTGGTGTAACTTTCATTACTCATGTCGCTCTCCTCCCCACCCCCTCACCTTTTTTTTTTATTATCGTATGGAAACCCAAAAGTGGAACTTCATTCAATAAAGGAGATTTGACAGATGAGGAGTCGTTCGAATTTCCAAATGCATCTTTAGAAAAAAACCTTTGGAGGAACCTATAAAGATTTATATCGATTTGCATCTACGTTTTCAGTTCTATAAATCAATGTAGTCCTGAATGAATGCATTGGATATTCATTGTGGAAATCTCGGTGATAAGATGATATTTACGACTTCAACCTTACACGAATCTGAATTGGATCAGGGTCGATGAGAACGGAGGACATTTTCTTTTTGTTCTCGCCTTTTTTTTTTTCTTGTAAATTCGATAAATCTGTGGATCCTTATCGTGTTTTGAAGCATATTGAATAAGTTATTTGTTGTTTGTTTGGCCGCAATTCCGTCACGGTTGCTCCTTCTTATCCACTAATTGCCTCTAATGATCATTCTCCATCCTTATAAGCTATATTCTTCTATTTCTATTTCTATTTCTTCTATAAGCATTTCTATTTCAGTTAGGCATTTTTCTCGTGTTTTAAAGAGTATAAAAACTCGTATTACGTAATTAATTTACAGAAAATGTTACGATTTTTAATGAGAAAAGTAGAGGAAATTGCAATAATTATCGATTGTAATCTAAGATAAAAATGTAATTATATATATATATCATAAAGGTAATTTTACAGATGTGATTTACGACTTAATTATAATGACGACGCTTCTGTATATTAACGTAACGACAAGACGTAACGGGTATCGATGATAATATAGATTTAAATTTCGTTTCTGATACACTTTGTATTGTTATTTCTCATAACGCCATAATAATTTCATAGGTTACATTAAGTGCTCGTTACTTTAACGTAACTATTTTACAGTATTTATACGTGAATACTCGAAATTTAATGCTTGATGTAGTGTGAAATGTCTTAAATTTTAACACATCTTCGTAAAAAAATTATAAAATCTTATTATTTTGTGTCTACAAAAGGTTTTTCAGCGTCATCTTGATTTTTAACATCGATTTGCAGAGCATTTCCAGCATCATCTTACTATTCAGCATCATCTTACTCTTCAGCATCACCATGCAGGGCATTTCCAGCATCATCTTACTTTTCAGCATCATCTTACTCTTCAGCATCACCATGCAGGGCATTTCCAGCATCATCTTACTCTTCAGCATCACCATGCAGGGCATTTCCAGCATCATCTTACTTTTCAGCATCATCTTATTCTTCAGCATCATCTTACTCTTCAGCTTCACCATGCAGGGCATTTCCAGCATCATTCTTGTTTTCAGCATCAAGATGATACTGAAAATGATAGTAATACGTTTAAAAACAATGAAAATAAACTTAAAATATTAAAAAACATATCCTCAAACGACTGATTCTAATTTTAGAATCAATATTGTTAACATCCTGAGGCATTACTCTTAAGTCTCTCATATAAATCTCCATGCTGCTAACACGTTAATATCCAACGAATCAATAACTGCTGATTGGATACGTTTCCGTTCACAAGGTTCCTATTACTTGCATCAGTAATTTACAAGTTAAACACTAACTTAATTTCACTAGAAAAGGCAAATTTCACAAGCATCAGAACAATAACAACAAGTCAAAATCAAATTACAAAGAAGCGAACATTCGAAGCAAAGTAATTTATAGTTTTTAAATAAATAAATATATATATGTATATAATTTCTAGTAGCTTTGTATGGAAAGATTGTCTTGCAAATCTGCTGCTTGCAATATTCTTCTTTGTCATTATTACAAGGAAGTTGGAAAAACTAACTCTGCAAAGAACCAACTTGATACCAGCTGTTACCTAAGTCCGATGCCAAATATCAATAATTCTTCCTGGAAAAACAATTTCGAGATGACAGAAATGAATGATTTTACAGTGTGATGTCGACTTTTTAAATCATTTTCGATCGAAATTAATATGAATTAATTAAAATTACTTCATTATGGATGAGGATAACTTAGTGTTTTGTTTATTCGCCATCATCTTAGAAAATTGAATTTCTGCTTCAATTTGTTTTTTTTTCATAATAATTATTAAAATATTTAACCGTCCTCTGTTAATTAACTTCATCGACTTTGTAAACGTCTTCGACAGTGTTCACAAACAATAGAAAATTTTCTAGAACCTGTGTAAGAACGGACATAGGAAACACCAGGTTCTATTCCCCCCCCCCTTTTTGTTTCTTCTAAAAATTTCATCACGAGCAATGGGATGATGATGGATGCAGATATCATTCCTACTTATCCTCATTTTCTTCCCTCTAATTTCCTGCCTCTAATGATCATTTTAGCATCATCCTAAGCTATAAATCCCGACTT